AGAGAGAGAGAGAGAGAGAGAGAGAGAGAGAGAGAGAGAGAGAGAGAACCCTACCGAATGCACTGTAAGCCAGCATAAGAGAGCTGGCAATACTCTGATGCTGCCTAGCACGGGCCACTGCATGCGACAGTCAGTGATTTTAGAGGAAAAGATAGAATTACTTGAAACAGGCAATGTTGTGGTTTTATACCACAGTCACAGGAAGCAGTAAGGTTGTGGCAGGAAGAGGTGGGTTAGATGTGGTGACGGCAGGGTGGCAGCCGGCGCAGGCTCCCTTTGGGAGATTTACCCTTGCCCTCCGAATGTCAGGTAGAGACGTGCTACGTGTCACCAGACTGCTGACTTACCTTCACTGAGGACTTGTTCATTCTCAGGCCCTCCATTGTCCTTTAACTGTGAGAAAAGACAATAAAGGGGTTTTTAGAATTCCTTTTTTTTCCCTTCTTGCTTTTTATGTATGTAAAGTTTGGCATTGGGGTTTGTTTACTCTAGAAACCAGAGGCCCCCGTTTGTCTTCTTCCCATTTTCCTCATGTTTCCTGCAGACTTCCCTGAAGTTCACAGCTGAGGGAAGTGTAGAGCACTGGTTCTCAAGCTTCCCAACGCTGCAGCCTTTAATGCTCACGCTGTGCTGACCCCAACCTAACGTTAGCTCCTCGCTGCTTCAGAACTGTAATGCTGCTGTTTGAATCATAATGTAAATATCTGTGTTTACAGATCGTCTTAGGCCACCCCTCTGACTTATTTGACTACCAAAGGGGTCGAGACCCACAGATTGAGAACCACTGATTTCGTGGAAGAAGTAAATTCCAACTAATATAATTCTCTAAAAATGCATATGCCTAGGTGTGTGCATGGAAATGTAGTAGTGGTTTTGTTTTTGTTTTCTGTGTGCCCTGAGTTTTATGTTATGTTAATGTTTTCATCTTTATTAGTCATAAAGACATTAAGTTTTTATAAGGGGGGGTATTGTTGTTTGTTCTGTCTTTTTTTCTTAAAGACTATGTTTGTCTGTATAGTCCTGGCTGTCCTGACACTTCCTCTGTAGACCAGGCCAGCCTCAAACTCAGAGATCCTCCTGCCTCTGCCTCCCAAGTGCATGGTTAAAGAAGTGCACCACTACCACCCAGAAAGACATCAAGTTTTATTGTCATAACTAAAGCACCAGAGGATTTTTTTTTTAGACTAATATTCTAGATTGCTTTTCTTTTCTTTTTTTCACTTTTATTAGTTTGGTTTTTAGAAAATAATCTCTTCCCTCTGATGTTACAGGAATCCCCTACAGCGAACACAGCAGCTACTTAGAAATGAAACGTTTTGTCCAGTGGCTGAAGCCACAGAAAATCATACCCACTGTCAACGTTGGCAGCTTCCAGTCTAGGAACACGATGGAGAGATACTTCAAAGAGTGGAGATCAGAAGCGGGATACTGATGCTGTCACAGACATCAGCTGGGTTCCATACGGGCAGGCGGCGATGATGAAATCTAAGCTGACGTGAGGTATGGTCCATGAGAAGAGTCTCAGGACTGTGTTCCTCATTCGATTTGAACAATGATATACCCAAGGTGCTGGGTACCTCTCAGAACCCCCAGTTCTGAGAGTGGCTCTTCCCAGGCCCCTTCATTCTTAATGTCTTCCCCATGGAGGCAACAGTCATCTGCAGCAAACATGGACATCAGACACAGAGCATTACCTATGTAATTATGAAATAAAACTTTTATATGATATGTATTCTTAAATAAAAGTTAATTGTAGAACTTACCGTAGCATCTTTGGATGGGTTTCATTATTGTCTTATTTTCTTTTTAGTAGAACAACTTTATTTTCACTGTAAACCTGAATAAAATGTACAGAGTTCTATATGCCTCAAGCCCCATCATAGCATCCTCTACCAAAGTGGTACACGAATTAGCATCAGTGTGTGTATACTGACACTATCAAGCCATAGTCTGTAGTTTGCACTAGAATTCAGTGGTGGTGGTGTGTATTCTATTGGCTGTAACACATATGACACATCGATCATCAGGGTGTTGTACAAAAGTTTCACTGCCTTAAATATCCTTTATGTGCCTTATGTGCCCTTTTCATGCTTTACTCCCCGTGACTGACCTCTGGCACCTGGTGGGCACTGATCTTGATTTTTGTCTTTTCTCAAATGTCACGTAATTGGGATCACCAAGCAGGCATCATTTGCAATCAGCATCTTTCTTCAGTCACATGCACAGAGGGTTGCTCTATGGCCTTCCTGGGTGCACGGAGGGTTGCTCCATGGCCTTCCTGGGTGCACGGAGGGTTGCTCCATGCCCTTCCTGGGTGCACGGTGGGTTACTCCATGCCCTTCCTGGGTGCACAGAGGGTTATTCCACGCCTTTCCTGGCTACTTGATAATTCATTCTGTGGACTGCTAAATTCTGCTCCCATGTTTGGAGGTGGCATTCTCTCCCATCTAGGCAGTACAGTAGAGCTGACTTTGGATGTAGGGGGTTGCAAATGAGTCATCATGGGAGAGCTGCTGTGAGTGTGGGAGAACTGGCCCGGCCTCTTGACTGCTCTGTCATGGCCTTAACAAGAAAAGATCGTCACTCCTCTCTTTGCCTTTACCACCAGCAGCGGTCTGGAGAGTTGGCCCCAACAAGGTCAGGAGAGCAGGAGAGCTGGCCCTTCTCCTCACCTGGACAGCACAGTAGAGCTGGGGGTGTGGGTGACCTGGCCCTGAGGTAATAAGAGCAGAAGAGGCAGAAGGATGACCAGTTCAGATACTTCTCAGGCTCAGGTCCAAGGCTTTGATTTGGCCCACCCCAACATCTATTCCATCCATGAACTGCTAGAGTACATGAAGGAGGCTGTCCTATAGATACCAAACTTCAGGATCTCCACGACGTAGGGCAACAACAGGATATCTGAGAAGAGTCCCAGTGAGGTTCCAGTGTTGGAACCTCAGGTAGAGTAGCAGAAGCCAGAGGCAGAAGCCAGGAGACTTTGCAGTGAACTTTTGCAAGCAAATAAGTGTGGACAAAGGGCACACTGTGACACACTACAACTCCACAATGAGACATTTTCTTTTCCTCTTTTGGGGTGTAGAGTTGCAAGGGCGGATGGCAGGTATGAAGGGAGGGAGAAATGAGTTGGACTGGGGTACATGACGTGAGATTCACAGATGTAAATGGTATTTTTATTTCTTCAGATGGAGTGATGAGATGAGAGTCATAAGCAAGCTGTACAAATGCACGGCTCAGGCTGAGCCCAGAGTGTTTCCTTCCTTCTCTGGCCTAACTATCCCTAGGGGGAAAAAAAAATAAAAAAATAAAAAAATAAAAAAAAAAACAAGACAAAACACAACAAACAAAGCCAGGCAGTGGTGGTGCAGGCCTTTAATCTCAGCACTTGGGAGGCAGAGGCAGGAGGATTTCTGAGTTTGAGGCCAGCCTGGTCTACAGAGTGAGTACCAGGACAGCCAGGGCTATATAGAGAAGCCCTGTCTCTAAAAACAAAACAAAAAAACATTATCCCTAGACCTAGGCCTGGAAGTTTCTAGCCTGTGTACAATGTAATCTTCCAAGATGACTGACTCAATCTGGATTTTCTCAGCTTTTGCCTGGCCTCATACTGACTTTGCTAATCTGTTCTACTCTTCGGTCTCCTTCTCATTCTCTCTTCCCCTGATTCTAGCTTGTTCTCTCTGTCATCTGTCTCTATAGAACTGTCTCAGTAAAACTGCTATACACACACACCACCCAGTACACCCCACCCGGTACTAACTTTCTCTCGCCCTGCTCTAAAGTAGTCTCTCTTCCTTTCTGTTCTCCTATGAGTTGGGTGTATCTTATCTCTGACTCATTCGGTCAAACCTTTCTTATTATGGTCTGATACCCCTCGCCCCAGAGTAGCTGTAGCTATTTTATTCCATGCCCTCCAGCTATTTCATCCTTTTGCTGTAACATGCCTGCCGGTCACTGACACAGGGAAATGACTTGGCTCAAAGACATGCTGACCATATACCCTGTTTTGTTTTTTTTTTCTCTATGTTCTGAATGTTCTGAATAAGGTTTGCCAATCTTAAGAAATTCCACAAAGCTTTATGTATGATCATCAAATCAAAGGTAAATACGAACTGTTATGTCTAAAATATCTTGAGTCAGAGCTGACCACTGGGAAGCCCTTCCCGTACCTTCCTACACGTATGAGCTCACTGTGGTTTCCGTGATTGACATTGATGAATGCTACTAATAAGTCAAAAGTTATGATTGTTAATACTCATGCTCAGTTATCTCAATGTGCTGAAATTCTCCTGTTCACCACGCATCCACCCCACCCCATACCTTACTCAGGACCAATCAGCTTAAAGGTCAGCTGATAATACTTTATCTAGTAAGCCAACTGCTCCCCTCCTTGCCCTTTACATTTTTTGGATCTGTCTTTATCTATAAAAAAAACCTACCCTGACACCAGGCTAATACCATAATTAGGCTTCCAAGTGCTTTTTTGCGGTCCTGAACATCCAGTATGAAGTGTACATTCAGTAAACTTTTCTTGCTTAACTGAGATCAGTGTTTGCATAGTTTGAGTGGTGATTCCTAACCCCAGCATTTCTCTGATTTGTTGCTTTGTCTGTCCCTCTTTCAGATGTAAAATTCAACATGGCTGCTTCCTTCTACAAACTAGCCTTACCCTCATTGTTAAGGATTAAAGCTGTGTACTATGGGCATGCCTGTATTCCTGCCAGTTCTACTGTAATCCAAAGGGCGTCTGTGTTCAAGTTGGATCATATTTTTGGATGTGACCCCTTGCTAGAGCAGTCATGTTGCAGGATTAAAAAAAAAATTCCTCTATACACAAAGAAGTAATAAATAGTTTTTTTTAAAAAATTAAAGATGGCCAGACAGTGGTGGCGCACACTTTTAATCCCAGCACTTGCGAGGCAGAGGCAGGCAGAATTCTGAGTTCGAGGCCAGCCTGGTCTACAGAGTGAGTTCCAGAACAGCCAGTGCTATACAGAGAAACCCTGTCTCGGAAAAAAAAAATGAAAGACAAAAAAATGGCAAACTTTCCCCCAACATCTTCCATGCCAGTATCAGTAAGAGTTCCTGTGATACCTGCACTGATGTTGTGTTCTGGATTTGGTCATTGTAATGGCCATGAAGTGCTAGCTCATGGCTCGTGTTCCCCCAAGGACATGCAGTGAGGAACATGTTCTCCTTTGCTTGCTTGCCACTCATGTTCCTTGTTGAGGTATCCTTAGGTCTTTTGTTTGATTTTTATATTAGGTCGTTCATCTCCTTAGTGTTAATTTGTATACTTTGTGCATTTTGGATAAAGTTCTTTTTCATGGACATCATTTGTATCTAGTTCGGTCTTACTCTTAATGGAAGGACAGCCTGTCATTTATTCCTTTCATGGAACATGCTTTTTGTGTTATACTTAAAAGCTCATCCCTGTGCCCAAGGTCATATTCAGGAGTTTTATAATTTTGCATCTCATATTACACCTGTGGTCCGTTTTGAGTTAGCATTTATAAGATCTGTGTCTAAATTGATTTTTTTTTTCGTGAATGTGCAGGTGTCTCAGAGCCATTTTTGAAAGCTAACCTCTCCATCCTCTTGGCTTTGCTCTACATTTAGAGATGGCTTTCTATTCTGTCATGTTGACTTTTTTTTTCTATCAATTTTGTGTCTTGATGACAATGGCTTTATATTCAGTCTCGAAGCTGGGTAGGATCAGTCCCCTAACCCGGTTCTCCCTCCAACCCGGTTCTCCCTCCACAGTGCTGGTAACTTCTCTAAATCACCTGTTAGGGTTTGGGTTAGGATCTTTTGAGCATGCACATCATGTTATAAAGCACCCACTCCTTGACAACAGTGCATCCCCCTGCCTCTGAACAGTGTTGATGTTTACACCTATTTTTCTTTCATCGGAGTTCTGTGGTTGTGTTCATATAAAACTTGTACAGATTTTATTATATTTACACCAAGGTAAGGCAAGTGGTTCTGTTTTAAATTTCAAATTCCTTATTTATCCCTGGTATGTAAAAAGAGAAATGGAGTTTTTTTTTTTTAATGTGTGTATGTGAGTGTATGGATGCAGATGTGGGCATGCGGAGGTCAGAGGTCAACCTCCGGTGTCGTTCCCTCAGGTACCTTCCATCTTTGGTTTGAGACAGAGTCTTATTGTCTAGAAACTTTGCAGTATAGCCCAGGACAGCTGGACAATCTTCCAGAGATCTCCTAGGATCTCTTCTAGCCTTCTCTGGGATTGCAGGATTACCACACCTAATGATGGACATTATAGACTGCAAGTTCTGTGAACAAAGGTAGTTTTACTTCTTCGTTCCTTGCCTGTGTGCATTTTACTTCCTTTAAGAGCTGGGATCTCAGAACCTGGTGAACCAGAACAGGAAGTACAGACATCCTCGTCTTCCTCCTGAAATCTATGTGAAGCCTTACACTTTCTCACCGTTAAATGTGGTGTTAGCTGAGAGGTTTAGCGGGACATTTTTGTTTTTTTAATCAGAGTGAGAAAGTCACCCTCATAGTTTACTTAAGTTTTTAATTGTGAAAGGGTTATCATTCTATCTGAATCTTTGACAGGCTGCTGTGATTTTTTTTTTTAAAGAACTTCAGCTTAATAGGTTAATTTTGAGGTCAGCTTCATACAACTAGGTTAAATGCTGTTTGCTTCAGACTAATTCCTTATACATTGTTAAATTCAGTTTACCATTTTTGCTGAGGTTTTTTTCACATATCTACTCATTAGGGATATTAGTGTGTCA